CTCTGTCGGTGGTTCGCATTAGCGAATGTGACGCATCGTTTTGTGCGATATATCGCCTCATCTTGTCGCTTCTCCAATTTCAATACGCGTTATTCGCTTGTCGAAACTATTCTTCGAACCGCAAAACGTGTAATTGTCCAAAACACACCTGAACGAAATTAAAGGAAATGTGTGTTCATTTTAGACGTTTAATTATCATCTCAATTTTCATATCGAGCTTCCATATTCCTTCAGATTTTCAATTTTATTACACACTATCCCAGTGTTTGTTATCGTTATCATCTGCTATTTCATTTTTAATCTTTTCACCTGTCAAAGACACGTGCTTCTTTTCATAGAATATTCCAAAATAATTTGGCGATTAATCCGTGGGTCACGCTTGTCTATTCGATCTTTTTTCTCATCAATGCTGGAATGGCAAACAAAAGCATAATTCGACGACCCACCGATGACCCTTAAGTGACGATTATAACAGTGTAAAATCACAGTTAACCTTAATCGTCACTCTTGAAAATAAATTCTCTATCGGCGAACAAGCGTTCCTTCTTACGCCCTAAGTAATAGGCTTCGCAAACTATGTGGAAACCAGCGGTGCTTCCTCCAGCTACACAACCCTCACCTTCCCCACCACCAGAAATAACGCAAAACCATCGAAACCGCCCACGGGCAAGATTAAAAAAGGATCCAAAAGAAAGACGCGGAGTTTTACGAGGCTTCGTTCAAATCAACCCTCGGCCGTCCGCATCAGAGACGGTATTCACGTTTATTCGCAGGGTCGCGAAGTCCAGGCGCCGGTTCAAACGGAAAGGTTTCAATAAACGTTCGATCATTGATACCGTGGCCGGCCACTCGACGACCAGTCGTATCCGGAAGCCTCGCGTGGTCGCGATAATGAAACGAAATCCGGGATTCAGTGGGATTAGCCGTTGGAAGCGTCATCGATATCGAAACCCAACGCTTGCGAGCGGCGTCAGTTGAAACCGTGCTCGCCTCTGCCCTACAACCCCTTCTCTCTCCTTTTTTCTCTACCCCCTTTTCGATTGCTATAACTCATCTTCCGAAAATGATCTTCCTGAACGTACCGAAAGTTCGACCGAGCGACGTATGTTTGGTAAAGATGCAACAGCAACACGATAGCGAAACGGGAAACGCGAAAACGTGCGTTAAGCGTGAATCAACGTCGACCAGGCTGCGTCAGAGTAAAATCGTTCGATCGATTCTCGATAGCCTGCACGTCAGTATTTAGAAATGGCTAATGCAGAAAATGGTGGTGTTTTTAATGATGTTACGAGTGTAGACGGTAGACGGGGAAGAGGAGTGGTTCAATGTTGGCGTTTTACCGTTGCAGAAGGCACGTTACACTGGAGGGGGAGTGGAGGAGCAGCTGCCACCGCCACCGTCGCCACCACAATTGAAAGAGGCCGGGCAATTGGACGGAGTTCCTAGACCGAATTCGGTTGATCGTATCCTTCATCCGGATGGTAGCCAGCACATTTTGACTAGTCACGAGACTCTAAATAAGGTAAGATTTGGCACTATTAAATTAAATTGCACAGATGGTTCTTGTTTTTGTGAATTGAATGGCTCCCGAGGATCGTTCGTTAATCGGGAATTCCCCCGAAAAATTCGTGGAGATAAAAATGCGCGGAGATAGATTTCATGAAGTAAAAGCTACCTGTATAACACTGTACATGTTGTATGGACATTCAGTTGTGAAATAAACTCTCGACGAATCACAGACGATCTATAGATTTGAATTTTCCCGCGCCGTGCGGCTTCGCGCATGCTCAGAAGATCTTCGAGCGTTCGCCATCTGCTTGGTTCTCTACTAAGCGTGAAAATCAATGCGATACGTCGGCAAGAAGTTACTCTCTATAGACCTTACCGACTGTATCGGGTCGATAAAAGATCTCGCTATAAATCGTCGGACCAAATCTCGCTAGATCTCGTATATTTCACTATTTATTCATTTTTTTCGTAAAAATAAATTTCGATATCGTTCTTCTATTCGATCGATCTTTACCGACGTGAAGCTACCCCTAGATCGTTTTCACAACCCCGCGGAAGGTGGCGCACGAAGGTTCGTCAACTTCTTGGAGTGTTCGTTCGATGGTGCAATAGTCGCGTGACTGATAAGAAAACGCTCTACGTTATCACGGGAATATTACGGGGAACACGTGGACGAGGCAGTCCGGCCGTGGCTTCGTGACTCGTCGGCTCCAGGCCGGATGCGGTCGGTTCGCCGGAAGTTCGATCAGGTGTTGGAGTGTGTCGCGAGTGAATCTGCAGTCGTGGACGTCGATCAGTCGAAAATTCGAGCGGAAAAGGAACGTCTCCGGTGGTTAATAAGACTCGCGGTACATCCTTGGACCGGCGTGACAAATTGAAACACATTATTGATCTTTTTCCATCGTCGACACACGGCCGACTCGCCGCGAATAGTGCGGACGTAATCGTTTTTTTCCCCCCTCTGTTCGCCACGCATGATCGATGAGCACCTACTCGCGGATGAACGCCTTTTGATTTATCGCTCGCTCACGCTATAGTCGAGTTTATCGATCACATTGTATAGAATTTGGAATATTAAATACGATCTTTTTCTATCTTTTAAAAAATTTTTTTTGGGGACAGAGAAATTAGGAAATTTATTTTGTACTATTTCTAGGTATAAAATTGTGCAATTTTGCATTCGAAGGATAAGTTCTTGTTGCTAGACTCGATCGATCCTTGCAGATTAGAATTAGAATAGGTGTTGGATGGTGATTCACGAGTGGCAATGAGTCAGTTCGATTACCAAAATGAATCACAATAGATTTTGCACGAGCTTATCGTACAGTAGACACTAAGATCTGCCGCGGTTTGTTTTGATAAAGCGAATAATCGATGGACGTTAAGTGAGAGGGAAAGCCCACGCGAAAGAGATCATCTCGAACGTTTACGACTTCCTTGACCGAGCTCGTAACGCTGTTGACTCCAGAGAGAAACGTAATATTCTTCCTTACGGGTATACCAGCTCGGTGTATTTATGATTATTTCTCCTGTTCCAGGAAATTGGTTGTTAAATTTTATTACCGGTTTGAAAAGTTCTTTTTTCATATTTTCGGGATTATCCTCGGTAATAATTTACAAGGGTTGAAAATTACATTTAACTCTGATGAAATATTTTACGCCCTCGGTCTCGTGAAATACGGGGAAGACAAGGAGAAGGAAAATCTGTTTATCTCACAGTGTCACGTTCGGTACCGGCATTATTTATAACGCAAAACACCTTACCACGCGTGTTACCATCTCACTCTCTCCGTATTTGGCATTCGGAGAATGGAATATACGCTCCCAGAGCCGCAATACAATAATTTTCCTGTCGTGACGCGAACATATTTTCCTTCTGGCCAACTTCACCTTTTCTTTCTCGACTTCTACCGGTGATTTATCGCGACGTTTTTCCCAACGAACGTCGCATCAGCTTTCAACTGGTCGGGGTTCTGTCAACCGCACCGAGAAATTTTACGATCTTCCTGGAACCTGTAAGAAATTTTCAACGAGATCCGCTCGTAAAAAGTATTCTTCCTGAAAAAAAGAAAAAAAAAAAACGAAACGATTCTCTCGTCCCACGTGAAATTTCAATTTATCCATTCGTCGAGTAGAAGAACCACGAGCTTGGCTATGTCCTATTCAACTCTCTGTCGGTTAGATCAAACAGTAATTGGTCTAATAACTCGATCTAATGGATTCCGCTATTAATTCTTCCAAGTGCATCCCTAACTCTGGTAACAGGAGCAGTTTCATCAACTGTCTAACACCAAGCCCGAAAGTTCGGCGAGATCGAAACGAGGCTCTCGAAGATGCACAGCTGATGGGATGGACTTAGAAAGATTCAGGTGGTATGGGTGATTTGGTCCAATCGAACAGAACTCCAAGCACACTCTAACCATTTCTCTCTCTCTCTCTCTCTCTCTTTCTCCCTTTCTCTCTGGTGATTCGGCTAGGCGTGTGCCCTTTAAGGTGACCCAGATAACAGTCTAGCACTATTTTATTTTCTACAGTATCTCGTTCTATGCGATTCTTTTGTGAGGGCGCGCGAGAACGCTGTGAAGGGCATTATTTTCGCGAACGAGTATTCCCGCCACTGAATCTCCCTCCCTCTCTGTCTTTCTTCTTTTCTCTTTCATGCTGCTTCACCTTGTCCAACATTTCTTCTCCCTTCATCCATTACACTCTCTCCGTTAAACGACGCGAAAATTCGATCGAATTCAGATCGTGCTTCGTGGAATGTACTTGGTGTCTCTGAACCGTTGGTTTAATCCCGAGAAATTTTTCGTATTAAGCTTCGTTTTGTGAGTAAATCGATATTGAAGATACCACGCGATGTCAGTTGGTTTGTATCTGAGAAATATCACTGCAAATTACCTGTACTGCTGTTTGAGCTTATCACGTTAGGGAATGATGAAAAGGAAATGAAAGGAAGAACCAATATCCCCGGTGGATCGATCGTAATAGTGAAATAACTTGGCCAATGCGATCCTTGGTCTCGATACCGATGGATTTTTACTTAGGGAGCCTCTTCGGGTCTCTTGTGTATCGCAACGAGAATATAATAGGGATCAGCTCGGAAAGAACGTTATTCTTGCACCGGGACAGTCGAACATGTACGTGAAAATGTGAGTGCGCGTTAACTCGAAGAATCTTCAATTTATTAAAAAATGAAGCTCCGTGTAAAATCTTCGATACAGAGTAGAACAGAATGATGGATTAAAAATTTAAATTTTTTATATCTTCGTGTATATGAAACTCTGTTCGAGTTGCACTATTAGTTTGGAGACATCCGGTGCATTAGGCAGTTTCCGAAATGGAAGTATAAATTGCACGGCTGGCAGGTTGTTGTAATACACGGTACGATAAATAATCCAAACCGGGAAACGTCTAATTAACGATAAACCTTCTTCGTTATCGGCGTGCAATTAGGTGAATTACAGGCGAGCGAGCGCGGTCGCGTAGCCTGGTTCCCTTTATAAAATATTATAATTGAACCGGTCGATCGGGCGACACGCGAGACCGCCACGCACGGATTCGGCTCCGGATCGTTTAATCGGTTGCCCGCCTATAAATCGTGTCTGGTATCTGATGACAACTCAGCGTTTATTACGTCCTCCGCCATGGCCCAGGCTGTCCACGCAACGTGAACTTCTGCTATAATGCATCGCGATGCGGCGAGATGCAATTGTGCATTCCACGCGGCTCGCGTTCAACTCGACTTTGCCCGGTATATTAAATTTAATGAATTCCTTTTTTATTCTAACGGAGTGGAGAAAATAGAAGAGGGGATGCGGATGTGCAATGCGGTGGAAAAAGAGGTAGTAGAGACGGGATATTCGTTGACTCGTACCACTTGGACATATGAAATAAAAGGAAATCTAATTAACACAGATTCGCTAGTCAACTCTTTTAAATTAAATTCTAAATTCCACCACAGAGAGAGAGAGAGAGCTGGTATAATACTCTTCTACGGTAAAAAAAAATGAGAGGAGGAAACAAAGAAAATCTCTTCTCTATCCTCGACAAATACACTACCCTCGGACGCTTTACATAGGCTAGGTCGTATTCGTAGTTTTCGAAAAAACAGTTACACTTGACCACGAAATCTCGCGTATACGTCCATTCTAACCCGGTGCCTAGGCTCGTCGCGGTGCATACGAACGCTGCATTCCACCTGGTATTGTGCACTTCCTACACGTTCGAGTTCTCTTATTTCGCTTATTACTCGCGGCTGTTACACGCGCATCGCTCTTTTCCTGTCTCTCTCTCTCTCTTTCTGTCTCTGTCTCTCCCGCTTGCTTTTCTTCTGTCTCTCCTGTCTCGTTTTCTGTTTCTCCCTCTCTTTCTCTCTCTCTCTTTCTGTCTCTGTCTCTCCCGCTTGCTTTTCTTCTGTCTCTCCTGTCTCGTTTTCTGTCTCTCCCTCTTTCTGTCTGTCTCTCCCTCTCACTTTTTCTTTGTCTCTCCCTCTTTCTCTCTGTCTCTCCCTCTCACTTTTTCTCTGTCTCTCCCTGTCACTTTTTCTTTGTCTCTCCCTCTTTCTCTCTGTCTCTCCCTCTCACTTTTTCTTTGTCTCTCCCTCTTTCTCTCTGTCTCTCCCTCTCACTTTTTCTCTGTCTCTCCCTGTCACTTTTTCTTTGTCTCTCCCTCTTTCTCTCTGTCTCTCCTTCTCACTTTTTCTCTGTCTCTCCCTCTCACTTTTTCTTTGTCTCTCCCTCTTTCTCTCTGTCTCTCCCTCTCACTTTTTCTTTGTCTCTCCCTCTTTCTTTCTGTCTCTCCCTCTCACTTTTTCTCTGTCTCTCCCTCTCACTTTTTCTTTGTCTCTCCCTTTTTCTCTGTGTCTCTCCCTCTCACTTTTTCTTTGTCTCTCCCTCTTTTTCTTTCTCTGTCTCCCCCTCCCTGACGCCACTCTCTCCTTCTCCGTCTCTCCGTCTGCCCCTTCCTCTCTCGGTCGCTGTCACCGATGGTAAATAACCTACACGTAGCCGCGGT